CCTTGTTTCTAGCGCTGTAGATGCATTCCTCCCTAACACAGAGGATTCACTTAGAGACAGTGTGGAGCTGGCCTGTAGATGTCCAGCTATCCTCCCTCCCAGACTCAGGGGAGGTCACACTTCTCCTTTCTCTAAAAGTTAGTGACAGCGATGTGACTTGCTCTGGCCAATGAAATGGGAACAGAAGTGATATGTGTCTCTTTGGGGTGTGGCTCCCCACACTGCCTCCCTTGCCAAGATGAACCCCAAAGCCATGTGCTGTGGCAGCACCAGAACACCATGAAGCGCCTTGGCTCTGTGGGATAGTGTGAGCAGGACAGTTTCAGTGCTCTGACTGTTTGGTAAAACCCCTGTGAAGCCATCTGGATCAGAGCTCTTGTTTGCTGGGAGTTTTTTAATTTTTATTTTTATTGTTTATTGCTTCAATTTCACCAGTTGTTGTTGGTCTATTCAGGTTTTCTGATTCCTCCTGAGTGAATGTTGGAAGATTGTATGTTTCCAAAAGTTGTCCGTTTCGCCCAGGTGGCCTTGTTTTTTTTTTTTTTTTCTACAATGTTTTGTATTTCTGTGGTGTCAGTTGTTGCTTCACCTCTAGCATTTCTGACTTCATTTATTTGGGTCCTCTCTCTTTGTTTCTTGATGAGTCTGGCTAAAGGTTCATCAATCTTGTTTATTTTTTCAAAGAACCAATTCTTGGTTTCATTGATCTTTTGTATTTTTTTCTTTTAGTCTCTATGTCATTTATTTTCAATATGATCTTTACTATTTCCTTCCTTCTACTTCCTCTGGGATTTTCTTGTTGTCTGTCTAATTCTTTAAGTTGTAAGGTTATGTGGATTATTGTTGATTTTTTTTGTTTTTTGAGGTATGCCTGTAATGCTATGAATTTTCCTCTCAGGACTGCTTTCACTGTGTGCCAGAGATTTTGGGTTGTTATGTGTTCATTTCAATTAATTTCTGATTAATTTTTTTAATTTCTGTCTTGATCTCATTGGTAACCCATTCATTGTTTAACACGTTATTACACGTTATTTAGCCTCCATGTGTTTGAATGTTTTTGAGTGTTTTACTGTAGTTGATTTCTAATTTCATGCCATTATTATCTGAGAAGATGCTTGATATGATTTCAATCTTCTTGAACTTGTAGAGACTTGTTTTGTGTCTTAACATGTGGTCTATCTTTGAGAATGACCCATGTGCGCTTGAGGAGAATGTATATTCTGCAGCTTTGGGGTGAAATGTTTTGTAAATGTTAATTAAGTCTCAAGAAAGACCTAGTGTTTGTCAGACTGTGGAGAAAGGAAGCACGTGTGCACAGTTGGCGGGAATGTAACTGGGAATAGCCACTGTGAAAGCCAGTATGTAGGTTCCTCAGGAAATTAAAAATAGAGTTACTATCTGACCCAGCAATTCCACTTCTGGGTATTTTTCCAAAGGAAATGAAAACACTAACTCAAAACAAATATCTGCACTCAGATGTTCATTGCAGCTTTATTTATCTATGTATGTAATTAAATTTATTGGGGTGACATTGGTTAATAGGGCCATTTAGGTTTCAAGGGCACAGTTCTCTCATTCATGCTCTGCATATGGCAGGTGTGCCCCCCACCCAGTCCTGTCATCTTCCGTCATCATGTATTTGCCTCCCTTTCCTGTCACTATCTCCCCACCCTCCACCGCCGGGCACCACCATCCTGTTGTCTGTCTGTGTCTATCAGTTTCGGTTTTACATCCCACATTGAGTGAAATCATGCGGTTTTTAGCTTTTTCTGACTGGCATATTTCACTTAGCATGATGTTCTCAAGGTCCATCCATGTTGTCGCAAGTGCAGTATTTCATCTCTCTCATGGCTGAGAGCATCCATAGGTGGATGCACTGTCCCTTCTTTATCCAGCCCTCTGTCCAAGGGCGCCTGGGTTGTTTCCATGTCTTTGCCACAGGAAGAACGCTGCAGTGAACATAGGGGGGAATCAGTCTTTGCAAATGAATGATTTCAAGGTTTTCTGGTCGACATGCAGAAGATGGATTGCTGGGTCATATGGTAACTCTATTTTTATTTATTTATTTATTTATTTATTTTTAAAATAAATCTTTATTGTTCAGATTATTACAGTTGTTCCTCTTTTTTCCCCCCCCCATAGCTCCCCTCCACCCAGTTCCCACCCCACCCTCCTCCCTTACTCCCCATCCACTGTCCTCATCCATAGGTGCATGATTTTTGTCCAGTCTCTTCCCGCATACCCCAGACCCCTTTCCCCCCCAAGAATAGTCAGTCCACTCCCTTTCTATGCCCCTGATTCTATTATAATCACCAGTTTATTCTGTTCATCAGATTATTTATTCACTTGATTTTTAGATTCACTTGTTGATAGATGTGTATTTGTTGTTCATAATTTGTATCTTTACCTTTTTCTTCTTCTTCCTCTTCTTAAAGGATACCTTTCAGCATTTCATATAATACTGGTTTGGTGGTGATGAACTCCTTTAGCTTTTCCTTATCTGTGAAGCTCTTTATCTGACCTTCAATTCTGAATGATAGCTTTGCTGGATAAAGTAATCTTGGTTGTAGGTTCTTGCTATTCATCACTTTGAATATTTCTTGCCACTCCCTTCTGGCCTGCAAAGTTTCTGTTGAGAAATCAGCTGACAGTCGTATGGGTACTCCCTTATAGGTAACTGACTTTTTTTCTCTTGCTGCTTTTAAGATTCTCTCTTTGTCTTTTGCTCTTGGCATTTTAATTATGATGTGTCTTGGTGTGGTCCTCTTTGGATTCCTTTTGTTTGGGGTTCTCTGCGCTTCCTGGACTTGGAAGTCTATTTCTTTCACCAGGTAGGGGAAGTTTTCTGTCATTATTTCTTCAAATAGGTTTTCAATATCTTGCCCTCTCTCTTCTTCTGGTACCCCTATAATTCTGATGTTGGTACGCTTGAAGTTGTCCCAGAGGCTCCTTACACTATCTTCGTATTTTTGGATTCTTTTTTCATTTTGCTTTTCCGGTTGGGTGTTTTTTGCTTCTTCGCATTTCAAATCTTTGACTTGATTCTTGCGATCCTCTGGTCTGCTGTTGGGAGTCTGTATAATATTCTTTATTTCAGTCAGTGTATGCTTAATTTCTAGTTGGTCCTTTTTCATATCCTCGAGGGTCTCACTAGATTTATTGAGGGTCTCACTAAATTTATCGGCGGTTTCTAGAAAATTCTTGAAAAACCTTATAACCGTGGTTTTGTACTCTCTATCCAGTAGTTTGGTTTCCTCCATTTCTGTCATTTGTGACCTGTTTCTTTGTCACCACATTTTGGCTGCTTCCCTGTGTTGACAGAGTGGCTTTCTGTGCTGGGTGTCCTATAGGGCCCAGTGGCTCAGCCTCCCCAATTACCTTAGGTGGACACTCTTGGTGCACCCCTTTGTGGGCTTTGTGCACAGTCTTGTTGTAGTTAAGGCTTGATTGTGGTTGGTATCACTGGGAGGAATTGACCACCAGGCCAATTGGCTATGAGGACCAGCTGTGTCTACAATAGGAGAACTGCTGTGCTGGAGACACCCTTATGGGGCAGGACTTGCTTCAGCGGGGCTTTGGGTGCTCACTGAGTCTGCCCCTTGAGTGTCGCTTATGGATCTGAGGAGTTGTAATCTGGTATGGTCTCACACTGACCACTGGGTACACTGGCTCTTGGATATCCAAGGAGGTGCTAATTTAGCCTCTGCCTGAGGCTACCCAGCAGGAGCTACAGAGATATCTTCAGATTCCTCCTCTTTGTTTGGGGTTTGGAAGTGCCCAGATGAGGCCCAGCTGTGAAGCAATGCAGGCTGCTGTCGAGCCTTAGGCCTTCTTTGGAAGCTTTGGCACTCTTTGACCCAGCAGCAGTTTGTTAGGTTTTAGATTGCATAGGAACAGGCCATTCCTATGCAAAAGCCTCTGCTCACAGCTTGGGTGGGGTTGTAAATTGGGTGGGGCGGGGTCTCAGGGGATCATCAGGGTGGAGCAAACCGCAATGGCTGCCAGTCAGCCCTGCCTCAAAGAGATCCCCGGGTCTCTGTGTCCGGCGGCCCTGTGCAAGAACAATGATCACTGCAAGCACCTCTGCGAGAAAGCTGCCCTCGCGTTCCAGCCGATGCTAGACAGTCCAGTTTCTTCCCGTATGAGTCTGGGTCCCCAGAGTCTCACCCTCCAGAACTGGAGTTCAGAGCAATTGGGAGCTTGTATCTCCCTCCCGATTGAAAAAGACAACAATGTACCCAGTTGCCAGCCCGTTTCTGTGCACGCCTCTGTACCTCTGCACTTCCGCACCTTCACACCTCCTACCAGTCTCAATGCACTTTTCTCTTTCCTTCTAGTTGTAGAACTTCCACTCGGCCAGCCTTCCCGTGGTTCTGGATGATATCTGTTTGTCTTTTAGTTGTAGTTTTGATGTGGTTGTGCAAGGCAGCAAATACAGGTGTGTACCTATGCCACCATCTTGCTTCCTCCTCAACTCTATTTTTATTTTTTCGAGGAACCTCCATACTGTTTCTCAAGAAAATACAAGGCAGCTGGTGCAGACTCAGTCCGCATCCCACTGCTTTCACCAGGGATGGGCCATGCTCCTCTACGTGTGAGAGACAGGACCGGTATCCACATGCACATTTAAGGACGCTCAGGATTTCTGCTCAGCTTTTTCCAGACTTCCAGGAAAAATCAAAATTGCCATTAGCTTAAATCCAAAACAACTTCAAAATAAGCCTGGAGTGGGTTTACCTTGTACTACTTACAAAGAGGCTGCCGCCTGCCTCCTTCTGCGCGATTCCTTACAGCCTGCAGTGCTGTGTGAGTGCCACAGGCAAGTGCACAAAGGCAGTGATGCTTGGGCCATGCAGACCTGGCCTCCTTTTAAAATCACAGCTTGCTATTTAGTGCGCAGGCTCAACATCGGTAAGAATGATTTCAGCCACCAAGTAACGAGAATACTGAACACAAAGTTTATTTAAGCATAAAACACATTAAAAAATTATTTGGTTGATTTATAAAAAGAGAAGGAAATGGGTCTGAGGGAATGGAAGTGGGTAGGGCTCCCAAGGTCTGCAAACAACATACCAGTGACCAGGCTCATGGCAAGGTTGGAGGACACGAGGGTAGGGAAGAAGCTCATCATACAGAAAGGGAGCAACACGCAGATCAGAGATCAGACACTTGCAAACTGAGAAAGAGTCCTCAGAGGGAGTCGGTCCCCCAGCTGTTGCTTCTCCACGTTGTTCCCTCTTCGTAAAACCTATGATCCGGAAACAGCACGGGCTGGACAGATTCTCTGATCAGATTCCAGTCAGACGTTTCTAACCAGAATTTTGTCCTTTATTGGTTATTTGAGTGAATCAGTTTCTAGTGACAACTGTTTGAAAATTTTTACCAAGATATATGCTTTCCACAACTGGCTTTGGAAGCCCCATTGTGTACTTTGAAAGAGGAGTTTGAAATTTCACTCATCTCCAGATCTCTGATCATTTGAGGCAGGTGGCATCCTGTTGAGATTCTGGACACTTTGAAATAGGTTTTGAGTTAAGGGCACACACCTTTTTTCCTACAGGGAATGGAAAAACGTAAATTACAGTACTTCATATAGCAACCTTGAGTTAATTATGAGGTCGTGACTGATTTATACACAAAATGCCACAATGAAATCTGGGTCATGACGAGAAGCAGTGTCCAGACTTGACGCTCAGTGGAAGAATTAGAGGCTGCAAAGAGAAAGGCACATAGTGAGCCCTATAAAAATCCTGTTTGATAAGGATCAGAGATCTTTGCAGTTCCCAACTAATTGCCAAGAACCCACTTTGTCCACGTGACCACGAAGAAGCAGAATTAACCCAACCTGCAGAGGTGCCTGCTGGCCTCAGTGGCGCCAGGGGACCCTGAGCGAAGGCCACTGTAGGAAGTGGCATTTATTGAATCAAACATTCCACTCCCAACCACAGCCAGTGGACTTGGCAGCCAGATTTAAAGCCAATACTATTTTTTAAAATAATTACTTTTTAAATGATTTTAAAAATCATCATCTTTTAGTAAAAGAGCAGGGACCCAAAGGTTAAAAAAAACCCAAAAAAACCAAAAGGGTGCTAAAATTTCTTAGGAGTTTTTCAGATAGTTCCTTCTTAATGTCTGAATTTTTATAGGCCTGTTGCTGGCTGCTTGGCCTCAGTCATGACGTGCTCCTCTCAGTGGGAGGAAGTTCCTGCACCCCAGCTGAAGCCAAGAATCGGGGTGTCTACCTCGGCAGCTCTTGCCGTCCTCTTGCAGGGTGCCAGTCACACAGCTGCACAGGGGCCCCTCCACCCGGCTGGTGCAGATCTGCTCACACCCTCCGTTGTCCTCACACCAGTCCAGCCCTGAAAGAGAGCAGTTAGTCAAGTTCATGGCAGAGAGTTACCTCTTCAGCTCACCTGTCAGGGCACGGCTGGAGCAGGGGTGGGGACCTTTTTCCTGCCAAGGGCCAGCTGGATATTTATAACATCATTATCAGGCCATACAATTAAAAAAATCTTTATGGTTGAAAGTATTGCATATTCCTCTTTATTCCCCCATTGACTTCTAGTCAGCCTTTGTCCCCCACCCTAGGCCTTCACCACCCAATTATCTGTGTCCATAGTTATGCATAGATGCATACAAGTTCTTGGGTTGATCTCTTCCCACCACTGGCTTATTTCACTTAGAATGATACTCTCCAGGTCCCTCCATGCTGTCTCAAAGGGTAAGAGATTCTTTTTTTACTGCTGCATAGTATTCCATGGTATAAATGTACCACAGCTTTTTTATCCACTCATCTACTGATGGGCACTTGGGCTGTTTCCAGATCTTAGCTATTGTAAATTCTGCTGCTATGAACATAGGGGTGCATAGTATTCTTTCTCATTGGTGTTTCAGGTTTCTTAGGATATATTCCTAGAAGTGGGATCACTGGGTCAAATGGCAGTTCCATTTTTAATTTTTTTGAGGAAATTCCATACTGTTTTCCATAGTGGCTGCACCAGTCAGCAGTGTACTAGCGTTCCCTTTTCTCCACATCCTCACCAAGACTTGTTGTTGTTAATTTGTTGATGATAGCCATTCTGACAGGTGTGAGGTGATACCTCATTGTCATTTTAATTTGCATCTCTAGTGACTTTGAGCATTTTTTCATATGTCTCTTGGACCTTTTTAAATCTCCACTTTGGAAAAGAGTCTATTCAGGTCCCTTACCCACTTTTTAATTGGATTGTTTGTCTTCTTTTTGTTAAGCTGTATGAGTTCCTTATATATTTTGGATATTATCCCTTTATCAGATGTATCATTGCCAAATATGTTCTCCCATGTGTGGGCTCTCTTGTCATTTTGTTGATGGTTTCTTTTCCTGTGCAAAAGTTGGTTGTTTTTTTTTACCATATTTTGATGTAGTCTCATTTATTTTCTCCTTAGTTTCCTTTGCCCGAGGAGATGTATCCATAAACATATTGCTATGAGACATGTCTGAGATTTTGTTGCCTATAGTTTCTTCTAGGATTTTTATGGTTTCATGACTTACACTTAAGTCTTTTATCCATCTTGAGTTTATTCATTTTTTTTGCATGTACCTGTTCAATTTTCCCAACACCATTTATTGAAGAGATTATCTTGACTACATTATATGCACTTATCTACTTTGTCAAATATTAACTGAGTGTAAACTTGGGTCGATTTCTGGGGTCTCTGTTCTGTTCCATCAAACTATATGCCTGTTCTTGTGCTATTACCAGGCTGTTTTGAGTATAACTTGATATCTGGTATTGTGATTCTTCCAACTTTGTTCTTTCTCAAGATTGCTGTGGCTACGTGGGGTCTTTTTTGGTTCCATATAAATTTTTGTAGTGTTTGTTCTAGATCTTTTTAATATGCCGTTGGTATTTTAATAGGGATTGCACTGAATCTGTATGGTTGCTTTGGGTAATACAGACATTTTAATGATGTTAATTCTACCAATCCATAAACATGGTATATTCTTCCACTTGTTTATATCTTCCTCTATCTCTTTTTTCAACATCCTGTAGTTTTCCAAATACAAGTCTTTTATCTCCTTTGTTAAAGGATACTTTAAGATACTTTATTCCTAAGTATCTTAATTTTTTTGTTGCAATGTTAAATGGGATTGTTTGTTTAGTTTCTCTTTATGAGAATTCATTATTGGTGTATAAAAATGCCATCGATATCTGGGTGTTAACTTTGTATCCTGCTACATTGCCAAATTCATTTATTAAATCTAGTAGTTGTTTCTTGGAGTCTTTAGAGTTGTCTATTTACAATATCATGTGATCTGCAAATAATGAGAGTTTTACTTCCTCCTTTCCCATTTGGATGCCTTTTATTTCTTCCTGTCTGATCACTGTGGCTAGGACTTCCAGTACTGTGTTGAATAAGAGTGGTGAAAGCGGATGGAGAAACCAAGATGGTGGCATAGGTAAACACCGGAGATTGCTGCCTCACACAACCACTTCAAAAATACAACTAAAAGACATAACGGACATCATCCAGAACCACAGGAAGGCTGGATGAGTGGAATTTATACAACTAGAAGGAAAGAGAAAAGCATACCGAGACTCAGAGGAGGTGCAGTGCTGAAGTAAATACAAAGGTGCGGAGGTGCATGCGGAGAGGGCTGGCCGCTGAGGACACGATTGTCTTTTTCAATTGGGAGGGAGTCTCAGGCTCTGAGCTCCAGTTCCAGGCGAGTCTTTGGGGACCCAGACTCACACAGGAGAAACGGGACTGTCTGGCATCGGTCGGAACTCGAGGGCAGCTTTCTCTCGGAGGCACTCTCAGTGATTGCCAGGACCTCTGAAGGCAGGACTGAGAGCAGCCATACTGCTGGCTCGCTCGGCCCACTCTGTTGATCCCCTGGGACCCTGCCCCGCCCAAGCCATACACCGAGGCTTTTGCATATGGAAGGCCTGGCCCTTTGTTATCTGAAAATAACTTAACAAACTGAAGCTGCCCCAAGGCCCCAGGGCAACTTGCATTGCTTTACAGCTGGCTTCTGCTGGGTAGCCTCAGGCAAAGGCTAGATTAGCACCTCCTTAGATCCAAGAGCCAATGTACCCAGTGGTCAGAGTGGGACCATCCAATTACAACTACTCAGATCTATAAGGGACACACTCAGGGGGCAGACTCAGTGAGCACCAAAGCCCCACTGAAGCAAGTCTTGCCCCATAAGGGAGTCTTCAGCACAGAAGTTCTCGCACCGTAGACACAGCCTATTCTCACAGCCAATTGGCTTGGAGGTCAAATCCTCCCAGCTTTACATACAACAATCAAGGCTTAACTACAACAAGACTGTGCACAAAGCCCACAAGGGGGTGCACCAAGAGTGTCTACCTCAGGTAATTGGGACACTTAGCACAGAAAGCCACTCTATCGACACAGCGAAGCA